ACAGGAATCTCTTCACACTAAGGCTCCTCCTGAAGGGATGATTGTGATACCGGGGTAGGCGGAAAATAAGGCCAAGACTCAAAGAAAGTGACATCTATAGAGACAAATCATTTGCGAGTGGGAGGATGATAACACTTATAACCCTTTTTGGTTGCAGAGTAACCCAGAAAAACACACTTAAGAGACCTTGGATTCAATTTACCATGAGTGGATGAATGATTATGGACAAAGCAAACACAACCAAAAGTCTTAGGAGGAACGGAGAACCTGAAAGGGGTAGACCCGAACAAAACTTGAAGAGGTGTTCGTTTTTGAAGGACTTGGGTAGGAAGATGATTAATTAAATAAGCGGCAGTGAGAACCACTTCCCCTTACTAGGTCGAGGAACCTGCATCTCAAAGTATAGACAACGGGCGACATCAAGGAGATGGCAATTTTTGCGCTCTGCAACACCATTTTGTTGAGGGGTATTAGCGCATGAAGTCTGGTGAATAATGCAATGAGTGGTGAAGTAAGTGGCAAGACTGGAGCTAATATATTTTCCCCCATTATCAGAACGTAGAATTCTGACAACAACCCCAAACTGAGTACAAACCATTTTATGGATGGTTTGAAACACAAAAAATACCTCACTTTTATCTTTCATCAAATAGACCCAAGTGGCCCTAGAACAATCATCGATGAAGGTAACAAACCATTTTTGACCGGTTAAAGACACAAAACGAGATGAACCCCATACATCAGAATGAATCAAAGAAAATGGAACTAAACTTTTATTAATTGGAGCAGAAGAGGCAAGTTGACAAGACTCACATTGAAAATCTGACACATTATTTTTTTCAAAAACAGAAGGAAATAAATACTTAAGTAATAAAAGGAGGGATATCTTAAGCGATGATGCCACAGCCCAATGTCTTCCTTGGTGGATGGTAACTGAATAGATGAATGAGCTAGCTGGTCTGTCTGATCCAGAATGTAGAGCCCATGTTTCTCTTTACCACTGTCAATCGTCTTTCTCGTGATAAGGTCCTAAAAAAGACGATGATTAGGAAAAAAACGTCACGCTACAATTTAAGTCACGAGTAATACGACTCAAAGATAAAAGATGGGTAAACTACCAATAAGTCCTAATAGTTGGACTTAATTTCCATCAAGTCCTATTGAAAATAAGTCTTGGTAAAATTGTCGCTAAAAATAATTTTTTTGTGATAGTTTTTTATGTATGTCGCTAAAAATTGACAATTAGTAATATGATTTTTATAAATTGTCGCTAAAATTTACAATTAGTGACTTTTTTTACGACAAATTTTTCCCATAAGACCTATTAGACAATAAGCCTACTTATTAGGACCTATACGTAAGTACTCCATAAAAGATTAACACTGAAATTGGAAACATAGAGGATAGAAGACAAAGGAAGGGAAGAGCTGGCATGAATTAAACCTTTTCCTGACACAGATGGAATGGTACCATTAGGAATACACACTTTTTCCTGACCTGAGGAGGAGTTATACTTTGAAAATAAATTAGCGGAGCCAGACATATGGTTGGAAGCACCAGAATCAATAATCTATGGTACCGTCATATGAGATAGCAATGCACATGGAGAGGAAGCCAAGTTATTTGAATTGGTAAAGGAAGAAGAAGGTGCACCTGTAGCAGAAGTGGAGGCTTGACAGTCTAGCAAGTGGCGAAGAGCAATTTCAAAATCTGAGGCAGATAACCCCGAAACATCTGCAGCGGAGGAGATATTTGGAGATGAAGATGGTGGCTCAACAGTGTCTGAAAGATGGGCTCACATATTGGCCTCTCGGCCTCTAGGACTAGACTGACCCCCTCCAGTACCAGGACGGTCGCCTCGGCCACCAGAGGGAGTTCCATGCAGCTTCCAACAAGTCTCTCATGTGTGGCGAGATCGACGACAGTAGTCACAGTAAAGATTATCCTTCTCAGAGGAAGACGAGAACCACGAGTCACATGGTCACCATCGCGAGAGGGTGCAGAAACCAAGGCCAAGTGATTAATGGGAGCAAAAGGAAGCATCGTAGAACGGCGACTCTCCTTATTCTGTACAAAAGCAAAGGCTTCCTGAAGAGAAGGAAGCATATCCATGCCAAGTACTTTGCTCTGAACCGGATCATACTCCACATTTAGGCCTTTCAAGAATTTGAAGACCCGCTTTTGTGCCACAAACTTCCGGTAACCAGCATAATCAGTGGGACAGACATGCTTGTAATCCTGAAGGTGATCTAGCTGCTTCCACCCATTGCTAAGGAAGTTAAAATACTGGAGGATAGTCTGGTCACCTTGTACCGACCTTTCAATGGAGTGACGTAATTCAAAAGCCTGTGAGAAGTTCCTCTTTTTGGAGTAAGTAGTTGCTATGGCCTCCAATATATTGTGGGCAGTGTCCATAGACAAGTAGCCTTCTCCAATCTTTGGAACCATAGAATGGATCAACCAGCCCATAATCAGAGAATTGGTGATCTCCTACTGGTCATAATGAGGGTCGGTGATATTGGGTGCCTGAACCCGCCTATCAACATATCCCATCTTCTCCTTGCTTTTTAAGAAAATAGTCAGACTTTGCGATCACGCTAGGTAATTCTGACCATTGAATAGAGAGGTAGTGATTCTTAGACCAGTGTGAAGGTTATCAATCATAGTGGAAGGGATAACAGAACTCTCGCCCTGAGATGGCTGAGAGGTAGTAAATTCATTGGTCAAATCCGCCATGGAGACTCTACTAACTTGTCCTCAAGCATAATGCCTCAAACACGATGCCAATCACAAATCCGGAAGATGAGAGTGGAGTAACAAGCACAACAGGTACTAAAAAAAATAAAGAACGAAAAATCCAATGTGGTTTTGTTGCTGTACTGTTTTTATATCACCAGAGTTTTTTTTTTTTTTGGTGTGTTTTTTTTTTATTGTATTTTATTTATTTATGAAGAAAGAAACGATGTATATGTATTGACGAAGAAAGAAATAGAGAAGTCAGAGGCTAATACCAATGAAACAGAGAAGTCAGAGGCTGATCTCAGAGACCTCTAGGATTGCCGATACACCTATACGAAGGAAGAGAAGGTGCCGATAGACCTAGACAAAGGAAGAGAAGGCTTCGGCTGCCCTAGAGGGGGGCCGACAGACCTTTCGCAGCCCTAGGTGAGAGCCGACAGACCAAGATAGACCTTCGGCTGACCTAGGTAGGAGCTGACTGGCCTTTGGCTAGCCTGGGTAAGGGCGACTTGCCTTCTGCTGCCTTGGGTCAGGGCCAACTGTCCTAACCAAGTGTCTGGGTGGCCTGGGCAGTCCTTCGGTGGAAGCAAGGTAATTTTTGGTTGGTACAAAGTTTTTCCTTCGGTGGCTCTGATACCATGTAGGTTTAGAGAAGAGAGAGTTAGGGAACGTGTTAGACTTCATTGCCTTTTTTATTAATAATACTAAATAATTACAGAAGTGCCATAAAGCATAATATATGGGCTAGTCCATTATACCAATCAAGGGAACAAATAAGAATAACAAATCACAATCACTTGTTTCCTATTCTAACAATTTTTTCCCCTTATAATCTGACTCTTTACGACCTGTTGTTGGGTTGCTCGTCCTTCCAAAGAATTAAGCTGAACTTGAAAACTAACTACTCCACAATTTTAAAAAGAATTTGATCTCTTTGGTTTTTAGAAAATATTCCTCTTCTGAGAGATTTTCTAGGATGCATAGACATGTTTTTGAACTTCCACAAAACAATAGGATCTTTCGCTCTGATACCAAACCGATGCAGGACGATTAGGGACATCACTGTAAGGGCTGTTTTGGGGCTGTGAAAGTACTGAAATTTAAGAAAGAAAGAAAGGAGAAGAGAAATATAGGTTTAGAAATCACTCCTAAAATCTCTTAGGCATCAGATTTAGGGTTGTATTACACAATCCATAAGAAACTTCAAAAGTTTTGAAAAATTCTCTAAAATATAAACTCTATTGAATTATAAGCATTACATGGCTCTATATAGAATTAGGAGACTTCCTAAACCAACTATAACAAAAAAAGGAAACTATTATAATATTTTTGACTTTTAAAATTAATTTAGGACTAGATAAGAAACATAAATAAAACCCAATTAAATAACTTAACCTACAAGACGACTCATGGGCGACCCTTGTAGCCATGACAACAACAATAATAAAAATTACCAAAATACTCTTGACCTAAAAATCCCACAAAACATAAAAATATTCATAAAATAATACTCTAATAATACTAGAACCATAATTATATAAAATTCTTATAAGTTTCTATGTGAAATCATGCCAATGTCCACATATCATTGCTTCTTTGAATTTAGCATTCCTTGAGCTTCTTATACCCTGCATCACTTTCTTCTTCTTCTTCATCTTCATCCATCTCTCTCTCTCTCTCTCTCTCTCTCTCTCTCTCTCTCTCGTGCTTGCTTTCCCTGTCTAGATATGGTGTTTAGGAATAAGAAATGACAATAAAGACAACAATCTTGGAATGTCACCTCCATAATGTTTGCATCAAGTAGAGCTATGAGTACTAGAGAATACACTTCTTATTTTCTTATGACTGGGTGTCCGGGCAAGCTTACGCGCATCTCGACTAATTCGGGACCCACACGAAGTGTCGCTTTCACGTCGATCGGGCAAATCTCGGATAGAGTTAGCGGGCGTGGCTCTAAGTAGTTGATAGCACCTAGTGAGAGCTGAACTTGAAACATGGAGGGAGCACACCCTTAGGCCCCAAGTTATACCCTCTAGGCCAACCTCTTGGGGTTTACTAGAGAATACACTATGTGAACCACTTTTTTTACAGCAAAAATATTCACTCTCTCCCTAGTTAATTGTCTTTTAGTTTCTTTATTTTATCTCTTTTAAGGAAGCTGAATGAACTGGCTTTATATCACACCTCAGCATCTTGTATCTTCTCTTTGGCTTATTAACTCGCTTATTTTGTTTGTTTTATGCATGTTGTGTTTGAAAAAGATACTATTAATTTTGTTGATTTACAAGAAGTACATGTTGCAGATAATGCAAGTCCAGAACGCAACTTAACACGGAGTTGTTCATTCTATATAGGTGAGATAGCCATGAGCATCAGGAAGGTAAGTTCTTATACCCAATTTTTATTTATTTATTTTATTTTTATTTTTGCCTGATTTAAAAAATAAAAAATAAAACATTTTAGAGTATGTGGCTTAGTGTTAACCTATATTAAATGGACTCTTCAAAATAAAACGAATACCCATGTTGGACACCTGACAATTGGTCAAGGGTGTGGGATGTGTCCAATACATTGCATAAGACAGTTTTTATATATTTGTATTTATCATTATATTTAGGGTTAATAACACTTTAACCCCCCTCCTATCCCCCCCCCCCCGGCTTGGCTTGAAAACATATGACCTCCCTCTCATTCAGAAATATGCACATAACTCCCTATGGTTTGGAGTTAAGTGCAAAACTAGCGGAATTCGTTAAACTTAGCCTCCGTTTGGGAAGTGGGTTGGCTTTTTGGCTTTTTTGACTATATGAGCCTGGGCTCAAAAGCTTAGTTTGGGAAGGGCTTTTGGCTTTTTGGTTTTTTTGATTTTTTTGTGAGAGAAGAGTGTAATGATTATGGGGTTGGATGGGATGTTTTGTCTGTTGTGGCTCATGAGCCTATTCTGTCTTTTATGGCTCATTGAGCCAAAAAAGCCCAATGAGCCCTTGCCAAACCAACCCTTAATAGTGCGCATTGCTCAAATGTTGTGAGGCGTGTGGCAATTGTGCTACTATGGAAGTTTGGGAGTAAAATTACTATATTGTCCTTATTGAAACGTTTTTCTGTTTTTTTTTCTATTTTCTTCTTCAACTATCACCATTCATCTCTACCCTCAACCACCACCACCACCACTAGATTCTCTTTACATCCACTACCACTGGCATCAAGCCACCATCATTGAATCAATCACCAATCACCATTCATTGTTTGAAGATGGAAAACACTGGTGAAGTTGACCATTGCACGTAAAATCAATCTGAGAAACCTTAATTGTGTTGAACAAATTAAAAATGGGGAAAACCTAGAATTTTGGTATTCATGGTTTTGAATAAGTATCATGAGGCTAGTGTGCTAATTAAAGATGGCAAACACTTGCAATGTGTGATAATATGCATATTAAGGTTAGTTATTTATTCCTGCATTTATATTAATGTTGAATGCGCAAGCAAACCTTAAAACTCATTTTTCCAAATACAGTACAATAAATTGAAATTGATATGTATAATCTGCCATTGAAATTGACATGAAAGACATGGATCTATGTCAACCACTAACCACTCAACAGCCACGAATGGTTATGCTAAGCCTCAACTCCACGGTTGCAACTGCCACCTTCACCACTTTTCACACCAGCATGTCTGGTCCATAGCAGCCCCACACCAAAATAAATAAAGTTAAATTACTTGGATTATGAGAAATAAAATTACTTATTAGGGGAAATTAGATAAAGAAGGGCAGTATAGGTATTTTGCAAAATTCATTAACAGAGTCATAAATTGCAGTTCAGTCCAAACCAAAAGGTGGTTATGTGTACATTTATGAACTATAAGGGGGTCATGTGTTTTTTAATTAAACTACAAGGGGATAAAATGTAATTAATCCTTATATGTGTGTATCATTGTAAATTTTCTATGAATGAGTAAAATGCTCTTTTGACACTGTATGTTACATATAACACCATTTTATTTTTCATAATAGATTAGAAATATAAAAATATGGACCTTTTTTTTTTTTTTGAGTGTCCACATACCCTTAAATTTGAAGTTTGATAGGTCCGGCCTTTAGATATACACCCGCACCTGAGTCCGTGTAACATGGGTGTTAACTAACAATTCAAAATAAAATCATGAAATGTCCTTTTGGTGTAGTTGAATAGCCTACAGATTGAAGGGTGCCGCACTATGGGTATGGGTCACCAGAAACACTACTCCAAGAGAATATCCTAAATATACATGAATTGAGATTAGAAGGATAGAGTTGGTACATAGTATGATTAGTGGACTTACAGTTTGTTTACTAGTAATCAAGTGATACGAGACTATGGTAGAAGAATTTAAAATACAAGGTACACAACATAGACATGAATATGAGATACGGATAGAACATGATACACAAGATGGCTTCACCAACCCAACAAATCTTTAAACAGTAGGACACAACATAATAATGATATGACAATATGTTTATATGTTTATGTATCTTTTGTGGATGTTATATAAGAAAAGTGTGTAATCTAATACTATTTATATATTTTTACTTAGAACTGCAAATTTCATTTATATAGTGGGTCTTTGGGAAGTGGGTTTTTTTGTAGGTTTTTTTAGTTGTAGGATATTATTGGAGAAATTTTTTTGTGTTTGGGAAGATAGTTGGGTTTTCTTGTGGTTGGATGTGATGTTTGTGAGAGAAAAAGTGAAATGATTATGGGGTTTGATGTGATATTTTGTTTGGATTTTTTTTTTTTTGGTTTTGTAACCAATTTGTCTTTTAGTGAAAAAACCAAAAAAAAAAAAAAACCAAAAAATGAACTTCCCAAACAGCGCCATAGTACATGCTCATAATGTTTGCTTTCTCACTATTTTTTTATTTGTGAAATCTTCGTTACTATATTTTTCTTATGTTAGAAATTATCCATTCCATACTTTTTATTGGTTATATGTAATGTATTCGTTTTAAAAATGTTCCAAGACACATTTGTGGTCCACCACATAGGCCATGTTGGTGAAGTGTCGACAGTTGCATCTCTTAGGTTTCGTCAAAATTATCATATTTATTGAAATTTTATTTTAAAGTTAAAGACACAGGGTGTTGGTGCTTGAAACCCTTGATGTATTCATGCTACTTAAAGTAGAAGACACAAGTGTGTAACAAAGATAGATGAATGAATAGAATGAGAATTGGCAAGGGTTATTTGGGTATTTAGTAAATGGTAGTATACTCTGTGTATTCTCTCACCTCTATTATATTAATAAACGATATGTATTAGGGTTAATTAACACCCTAACACCTTTTTAGGTCTCTTCATTCTCAAAATAGTATCAGAGAAGTCTTAGGTTCAAGTCTTCTGCTTGCATTTTGTTTCTCTACATAATTGGATGCTTTCCCAAGACAAGATTGCACATAAGGGAGGGTGTTGGATAGCTTGATATGCATTGTTAGGACCTTCTTCTAACGCTTAAGTTTTTGGTACTAGTGCTGATTTAACAAGAATAATTGTTAAAGAGTTGTATTTTCTATAGAAAGTGTAGAGTCTAGATTTGTTAAAGATGAAGATCTCAACTTCGCGGAGTTGAATTATTATGGGACTAAGGGGTTGTTTGGGATGATCTAAATAATTATATTTTTTGACTTTTTATGAAAAGATGTGTAGAAAAGTAGAGAGGTGATGTGACCCAAATAAGTGCATTAGTTTATGCCAAATAGTGCCTAACTTAGACACACTTTGGTGATCTAAACTGTTTTTCTCATATGATCAATTAAGAAAATTATCCATGCAAAAAAATCAAGTTGATCCAATATTGATTGTCAAACTATCAACTCATTTTTATCTATACGGCATACATGTTTTTAAGAACAGAACGTTCATTTGTTATAATATATATGTGATTTGATCATGCGATCATTTATGTCTGTCAACTCAATTTTTTGCATGCATGTTCTTCTTAGTTTCATATGAGATGAACAGTTCATATCTATGAGATGGGTACAAATTGGTCCCACAATGCTTTAACTTCACATATGAAGTTGAGATCTTCAAATTTAGAAAACCTGAACTTAGAAAGTGTAAGGGTCATGATGGTATTGTTAGCTCTGCTAACTTTATCATGAAATTGCCAACTAAGAGAATTCAGAAAGAAAAGGATTTCAGTTCATATAAGAGCAAATACAACATTCTGATCTTCACTAATTGTTGTGACATAAAAGTCCTACTTTATTACTTTAAAGAGAGAATTTGAGCGAACATGTAACATGAATCAAAGACAATGAAAAAATTTGGTTGTATTAGGAAGATTTTTTGATGAGGAAGTTGAGTTATCTTGGAAAAGTTCTTGTTTCAAGTTCTTGTTTTTGTGAAGAAAAAAGGTCTCCTTGTTTCTTAGGAATGTGTATAATTGGGTTCATAGAGAGAGGAAGGGATGATGTTTGTCATTAATGAGCTTGCAGATATTCTTCTTACAGTATGGCCATTAGAATTGGTCAATCTTGAAGTTTCTAGATCCTTCTTTTTGTTTTGTGCATTTTAGTTATTCGAAGGTATTTTATGTAGCAGTTTCATTTTCATTCTTTGTTGAGGGAGGTTTTTTGAAGGACATGTGGCCCCTCATGGGCCACAAGAAAAGTTAATGCCTTGCACACCCTAAGATGAGTACCTTTATTTATTTATTTATTATTATTATTATATATATACATATATATATCAGCATCAAAAGGCCCTAAGATGAGTACCTGCTGTACAGATTTCCAGCAATGGAGTTGATCATTAATTCTTGCTGCTGTTATTTGAAGTTTCTCTTGAAGTTCTCCATATGTTAGTAGCAATTGATAAGCTGCTCTGTTCAAGAGATTGCAATGTACATAATTTAACACCTGATGAAGAAGATAGCCTATTTTATATGCATTAAACCTCTTCTTTTTCTTTTCTTTTTATTTATTTATTTATTTATTGTAAATGCCTTAAGTGAACAAGTTTTTCTCTTTTCTTTCAGGGTTCATTTTCTTACAAGCTTCCAGCCGATGACATACTGAAGGGTTGTGATGTTGCTAATACAATTATTGATTTGTCGCATAATAGTGTTATGGCCAGTACACTAATAGGAAGCATAATTGTCTTCATTCCTATATCAAGGTACGGAATAATGATTTGAAATTTCATTTGTTGCTTTTTTATCTATTATTGGATGGATGCTTTGGGGTATATATAGATTATAAAGGCATGGGGCTGCGTGCGTGCGTGCGTGTGTGTGTGTGTGTGTGTGTGTGTGTGTGTGTGGAGAGAGAGAGAGAGAGAGAGAGAGAGAGAGAGAGAGAGAGATGGAGGGAGAGGCTATTTCTTGGTTAGATAAAGTATATTCACTTTGACAACCTAAAACAAAAGCCTATAGGCCCTACACCATGCTAGAAGAGTTTTTGGTCAAAAACAAAGTCATGATAGTGTTTAGAGTCCTTATTCTAGAGTTAGTCTACTGTTGGTCACTTTCCTTCATGTTTCTTATGTCTTGGGAGTCTAGCGTAATTTGGTAAATTTTCAGCTTTACTGGACTTGGACTTCAGAATGTGGTTGCAATTCACGCTACAAGTTATGTTTTTTGAGTTTATATGTAGTCTAAAATAGGCATAGAATCTTGTAGATGGTCAAAGTTGTTGGCTCCTTTTTTTGAAGTGTTAGTCCTATTGGAAGTAGTAGCAGCCAATATAGGTGCATGTAGTCTTTCTGTTTGGTGAGGAGTCAAGTTTAGAGATTGTGATTGTGTTTTTTGTGATTTTGCTTAGCCCTTGCGAGGGTAAACCTCCCTTTCCCTTCTCTTCATTTATTTCTTTCTTTTTCCCTTCTCTTTGCAAAACAACCAAGTTATTGTTCTTGGGTTACTATTCGCAACCTTGATTTCAAGCCCAAAACTTTTTTTTTTGGGTGAATACAAGCCCGAAACTCTCTCCAAGCAAGATCCAAGTAGGCCCAAACTTTTCCCTACTCTCTCCAAGCAAGCCCTAATGAACCCCAAACCATTCCCCTACTTGCTGGCTTTCAATTATGAAATAAACCATCAAATTGGCCATTGTTTATGCCCTAGCAGCGCGCCAATTCTGAGAATCCAGGAACGTCCAACTTTTGAAATGAACTAAAGCCTTTCTCCTTTTAAACCCGAGAAATTTTTAGTTTATAGAAGCCTAACCACCCAACTTCCTGTCTTGTACCCTTAAAAATGCCCTTGTTTCTTAAGCTTCCTACATCAGAGAGAATGTTTATTGAAATTTATATTATAACAATAAACAACAATGGCATTGAGATGAGGAATTGAAAGATGGGACATAGGGACCACACGTGAATATTGGATTTAACCATGATGCAAAACTCCATTTAAGCTCTAGGAAATTTCTTGAGTATGAAATCTAAGAGATAAGAGAGCACACTTTTTTCAATTGTTCCCCCACAGAAGAATTCTCTTTCTCTCGTTTAAATTAAGTACCTGTTTGTTTGTTTATTTATTTATTTATTATCTTTTAGGTAAATGGATAAACAGAAAAAAGGGATGCCTTCCCAATAAATTTCCCCCAAATCCCTCAGGGAATGTAGTATGATGAGAAACTTATGTCCTATGCTTTTGAGTTGAACAAAATGATTTGCTGATTTAGTGTACATTGTCAATACCTATTGATTGTGACTGAGGGGAGATCTGTTTTTTAAACACACCATTTGGATTGAGGGGAGGGAAAGTGTTAGTTGTGAGGTGAAGGGAAGCGAGGGAGGTTGTTGAATTTAAAGTGTTTTTCTGGCTTTTATTTTTACGTATGTATTTTTTTTTTGTTTATTTGTTTTATTCTCGCTTGCACTTATGGACTACACTCGTCTATTTTTTCGGTCCTTCGACAATCTCTTTATTTTCCCCATGATATCACTTTCCAAAGCTTGAGACCTCTTGATGTAGTACGCAGTAGGGGGAAGAGAACAAAGAACAAAAAAGCAGAAGATGGCCACAACCCTAACATAATTGGCCACAGCCTAAAACTCAATATCTCATTCAATCAAAGCTAACTATTACAATGGATTGACGTAATATTTATAAGGCTTAAAACCCTAATTCAATAGTTTATCAAATCCTAATAGAAAAGGTCGCAATATTAATCAAATATTAATAGAACTCCTAGTTGAATTTTGTAATATATTATATGACAATAAGGTTGAATATGGAGAGATAGTAAAGACATAAAAGATAAAAGAAAGAATACAAATGTTTAACCTGGTTCAACCAATCGTGGCCTACACTGCCCTATGGGCTACATACATCTTTCGTTCACTCAACTTAATCCTCTTGATTACGTGGTACACCATATATATATATATATAGTGAGAGATATAATCAAATTCTTTCAATTAAGCGATTGAAATATATCAAAGATACAAAATATCATGACAAATACAAATCATAGGATCTCCATATATTCTGATATCTTTAACACTATAATCTTATCCTCATTACTCCCAACCAAAATAAGTATTTTGATTAAACTATAATTTAAAAAGAAAATAAAATACCAAAATAATTAATACTAAAGACAAATTTATAAAATCTCTATGCGCACACATTTTGCTTCATTCTCCCTAATTGAGATAAAAAAACTCGTCCTCAAGTTCCCTTTAAAGTGTTGAACTTATCCATGATAGAGAACCAAAACTTAGAATATGCGGCATGCTTTGTTTTCTTCCCACACCAATTGCTCCTGGTGCCCGTAGTGTTGACAAGGTCTATTAAACCTGGATTTAACACACAAAAGAAATCTTTAATACTGATTAAATAATTTTCTTCACACTTGATCAAGTAATTAGTTGGTGGAGCATCAATAGGATCTGACAAGTCAAGTTCATCTATAGGTTCAAGAGGCTCTTCTTTTGGTAAGAGCAGCATCTGTGTTAGAACATCTTCTTGGACTTCCAAAGTTTCTGCTTGGTCAATAGGTTTCACATAATTCTTACAAGCACTATGAGGAAGTTCTAAAGTACTTCCTAACAAGGGTCAACAATTATCCAAACATGATTATGTCAGTTAGAATGTAAAATGAGGAAACTTAGGGTTAGGAAGAAGAAGAGAAAGGAATTTTTATATATCTTATAATGTTGTGCTCAACCTTATATCAATACATTAGCAAAATATATATACAAACCGTAATATTGTAATATGACCATCATACCCTCAACTTAAGTAAATATTAACAATAGAACATAAATAACTATTCTAATACTCCCCCTCAAGCTGGAGCATAGAGATCAAACATGCTCAGCTTGACAAATAAGCTACGAAACGAAGACCGAGCCAAAGGTTTGGTGAGAATATTAGCCAATTGATCATCAAAACAAACGAAGTCACAAGTTGCTTACGCAGTAAGAGATAACGAATAAAATGGCAATCAATCTTTATATGTTTGGTTCATTTATGAAACACAGGATTATTGACAATGAAGATAGCAGCCTGATTATCACAAGACATGTTTATAGGAGTGGGAACAGAAAAACCAAAATCTCAGAGAAGAGATTGAACCTAGAGCAGCTCAAAAGCAGCATGAGCCATGGCATGGTATTCTGCCTTGGCGCTAGAACAAGCAACAACATTTTGTTTTTTGCTACACTAAGTAACAAGATTACCACCAACAAAGGTACAATAGCCCGAGGTGGAATGGCCGTTAGTCCTATTACTAGCCCAATCAGCATCACTAAAGCCAGTGACAAACAATGAGGAAGAGGGTTGATAGAGCAAAGCCCAATCGGGGACACTCTTCAAGTATTGCAAGATACGACATATAACAGCAAAATGAGGTTGGCGAAGAGTATGCATAAATTGACTGACCACACCCACATCATAACTAATATCTGGATAAGTGACAATGAGATAAATTAACTTCTCAACTAACTGACGATAACGACCAATATCAGGAAATAAGTCCCCAGTTTAACCATCAAGTTTGACACTAAAATCCATGGGAGTATCACTAGGGCGAGTGCCTAAGAGTCCAGTCTCAGTGAGAAGATCAAGAACATACTTCCGTTGAGAGAGAAACAAGCCCTAAGAAGAGCGAGCAACTTCAATCCCAAGAAAATACCGAAGATGACGTAAGTCTTTGGTGTGAAATTGTTTGCCTAAATACTGCTTCAAATTAGCAATACTAGTGGAGTCACTCCCAGAAATGATGATGTCATCCACATAGACAATAAGAACAATACTCCCAGAAGATGAGTGGCGAACAAAGACAGAGTGATCAAAAGTGGAACAACAAAATCCATAGGTAATGACAATAGCACTGAAGTGATCAAACCAGTCATTAGGAGATTATGTAAGACCGTACAAGGCCTTTTGCAAGCGACAAACACGATGCTCTTGACCAGGCACATCATAACCAGGGGGTTGATCCATATAGACCTCCTCTTGGAGATCGCTATGAAGAAAGGTATTCTTGATATCAAGTTGATACAAAGGCCAAGAGTGACTAACTGCAACGGAGAGTAGGATCCGAACAGAGTTACGACGGGCCACAGGAGAGAGTCTGTAGATAATCAACACCATAAGTTTGGGTGTAGCCTTTGGCAACCAGGCGAGTCTTAAGCCGCTCAACAGTCCAATCAGGAAGATACTTAACAGTATAAATCCAACGACAATTCATAATAGTTTTGCCAGAAGGTAGAGGGGTGATTTCCCACGTCTGATTCTTATGCAGGGCATGCATATCCTCATCCATGGCATGCTTCCAACCAGAGATAGACATAGCCTGCTGATATGAGTGGGGAATGGTAATACTAGACAAACTGTAGGCAAATGAGTAAAGACCAGGAGAGTGGCGATCATAAGAAACAAAATTAGCAATAGGATGTTGAGTGCAAATACGTTTACCTTTATGGATAGCTATAAGAAGGTCATCTGAAGATACATCAGCGGATGGAATAGGAGAGACAGGAACCTCAGACGAAGGAGATGAACTGGTTGGGCCATAAGACATAATGCGACGAGGTTGAGACCGTTGATAAACCTGTAATGGAGACGTAGAGGCGAGATTGGAAGGAGGTGATATAAGAGAGGAGGAACATAAGAAGGAAGAGTAGGAGTAAGGCTGGCTCTCCCTCACGATAAGAGAGAAGATCAA